CACGAAAGTGACGCAAATAACCCAGACCACAAATATAGGCGGAGACTGTTAGCAGCCTAGGCTAGCTAGCAGCAGTCTGAACGTGGTCGAGCTTTTCTTTTTTTTTTTCTTAAAAGGACTTGGACTTGGACTAAGTCGATGCGAACGCTTCGTAATGCCGGGATGCCGGGTTCGATACCAGCTGCGGGCCATGCGCCTTGCGTTGGTATCGACAGTGGTATCAAGAAAGCGACCGTCCAGGAGCAATGGCAAACTACTGGACGTAAATTTTCCTAGAAAAACCACACAACAGCCAGGAGCTGTTGGGGTTGGTTCTGCAACGTCCTGTAAAGGATACGCAACTAACCAACTAGCATAAAGCTAAGAGAGCGCTGAAATCTTATAGTAGATGCTTGTGTGTTTGTTTAATAATGCAAAAATAAAACTGACAACGTTCAGCTCTGCTGGAAACGGATTCGGTCAGGTAATCGAGTAATCAGGTAATCGCAGTGCCAGCTTCACAGAATACGCTTCACTCCATAGTTACTCCGTTCCTGTACCATACACAGAATGTCCAACACTGTCACTTTTGAAAAAAAAGACACAGACTCAAGTGTCAGCTAATCCAATAGCATACACAAACAATAAACGCATAAGATATTCGTCAGAAGGGCCAACAGAAAAAGTCCCACACTGAAAGTGCAGTTCATCGTGGATGGAAGCAACAGTTGAACATTTGTCAGTACTTGCCCACGCAGTTAATCGCATAAAGCACTTCCTGTTCTAAAGTATAGGCCACTCGCCAATTTATGACTCTACGGTTCAAAATAAAAACCAAATTCGCACAGTCGAAAAGTATTCCAAAAAAAAGTTTGCAGCTCACAGTGTCGTGCCATGCAATCGTCTTAATTCATGCTTAACGAAACTATGTCCTTTCAGTCTAAATATAGATAAAAATGCAAAAGCTATATATTATCAAAAGCAAAAACTGACTAACACTAAAAACGCAACAGTAAACCAGTGTATCCGCCAAACTGACCAAAACAGTTTTATATTTGCGGCGTGGTCTTATTTGTTCAAGTTCAATGACTTAAAATGGCTGTTCTGACAAGTTGAAAGTTAGTTGCGTTTCCTTTACAGGACATTGCAGAACAAGTCCCAGCATTTTTTGGCTGTTGTGGATTTTCTGGGCGGTCGCTTCTCGATACCACTGTCGACACCAAGGCAAGGTGCAAGGCCCACAGCTGGGATCGAACCCGGCACTACGAAGCGCGTTCGCAACGCTTAAACCACAGTCAATGTTCCTAGCTTCCCCGTCGGGGTTCCGGGGTTCCATTATGGGGAAAACACACCCACTGCCTTTCCAACAAGTATGTCGTAAGAGTCGACTAAATGGGAGCTTCCTTTGAAGACGGAGTGCGTCTGCCTGAGAGGCAAGGAACCAGCAAACTGCATCAAAATAAAACAGATATGTGAAATCGATGTGCACGCAACGTTCAGGTTTTGGAACCAGGCTAATGCCCGGCGAACGTGAATCAGTAGTCCCTAGCAGTGTCTGAACAGGTTGAGGTACCTTCTTTTTGTTTTGTTTCTATAGTCCAGATAAGGGTTCGTGGCCACCTTCATGTCTTATGGTTGACGATTTTGCTATGCTTAATTTTGGCTATATTCGTTATATTACCTTGTGGCAAGTGAAGGCGGCCAGTGTAATGTTGGCTACAACACCCACCGAGTGCCGATTGGTCTATAAAAATATAGGTTTAGCTCTATACGCCTAATAAGCCTGAAGGAGCGGAAAAGTGTCACCCCCCCCCCCCCTCCTGTGTGGTGGTTTTCTTCCTGAGGCATTCTGTCTTGTCTTCTCTCCTCTTGTCCTCATTGATATCCTTGTCGTCGTCCACTGTTGTGGAATCCTTGTAGGAGTATATAGCAGATGCTGCCCTGGAGATTAACACTAAAAAGAAAACACACGTCCGTAGCAGTCAATGCTGTTGGGCGTGAGAAGTGTTCAGCTTTGATATATTCTAGGACATGACTAACAAGATAGGGTGGCTTTTTCTTGTCCCCGTCGCCTTCCTAGACATAGACAATCCCCATAAATGGTTGACAAGTGTCTAGAGCAGTGTTGTTTATTCTCTAAGCCGCAGCCAACTGATGAGCTGATTGAAAAATCTAGGTTGGCCGCCATTGTTTTTTTTCCTCCATATAACAGGGTGGGGTTATGTAATATATCTTCTTCCAGGATTGCAGTCTGTAAGATTAACATATCAAGGATGAAAACAAAAATGTCTACACATCACGAAAAGCCCGCCCAACCGCAGACATTTTGGCAACCTCCGAGCAGCATCAGGTGCCGCATTGGCTGAACATTGTATTTTTGTGACACCAAATGACTGCTACCTACGACTGTTTTCTTTCTGCGATTGGTTCGCTGGCAGGGGCGGCCGTGAAACAAGTTCCTCTGATTTTAGTTTGCGCAGGTGTAAAAAAAAAAAAAGGTTTCATGAGACCTGGCTACCTC